ACCCTTTCCCCCCAGCCTGGCTTACTAAAACCACGTTGCAACCTACTTACAAGCTGTGCTGTCTAACAGGGATCTCTAGGTTACAGGAGTGGCTGAAAATAATTGGAAATCCTTTGGAGGTTAATAACTTCCATATCTACATTTTGCCTGGAATACAGCTTTAAGGTATTCTGGGGAAACTCATACTAATATATTTTTTCCTGGACTGCATTTGCAGCTTCCAGAATGAATGAGGTTTTTTTGATGATTTTGGCCATTTTAGCATTTTCCTTATGGAAATAACTATAAAATATGTATGTCAAAGAGATCAGAAATAAATGGATATGATGCTAGCCATGCCTTTAACAGGGGATTAAGTCGGGATGGTTCCAAAGCACAAACATCCTAAATTATGCAATCCTATGATTCAGCCATCAATATCTCAAAACTCTGTGGTCAAAGCTACCCACCTGATGCTTACCCTATGCTTAGGGTGAAGTGAATCTCCTGTGAAATGCACTATAAACCATTGAACTACTCAGAATTATATGGAGATCACTCCAAGGCACAAATAGCCTAAGTGCTGAAGCATTCCTGGAGTGCAGATATGACCTTTTTGCAGCTTGTAGTATCCAAATGCTCTGTGGTTAAAGCTACTATAGGCTTAGTGTCACAATCAGGTATTTGGGTCTATTTATGTATTTATTTATAGTATTGACATATCACACAAACAATTTACACAGAGCTTTACATATATAATGTACACTCTCATCAGTCTCTGCCCTCAAGGAGCATACAATGTAAGATCCCTAACTCACATTTTTGCATACACATACTAGGGCCAAATGAGACAGGAGCCAATTAAACTACCAGCATGTATATGGCGTGTGGGAGGAAACCAGAGTACCTGGAGGAAACCCAGTCAGGCATAGGGAGAACATGTAAACTCCATGCTTTTAACTGCTCATGCCTGCACCCCAGGAAAGAAATGGCATCTAAGCCATTAAACTGATTAGACCTTATATTCAAAGATTTAAAATTCCAAAAATACACTGCAAACACACCTCAAAAAGTCCCACAAAAGCAGTCAGCTCAATATAAATATAAAATAAAAATAATAAACAGTTAGCAAAGATAAAATGACTTAATATTTAACAAAAGAGAAAAATGAAAATACAAACCAATCCTCCACCAAATATTAAAAATAAAAATGTACACAAAATCACAAATACATGTACTGTATATATCACAAATCATAGCATTAAATTTGTCCAGTCAACAGATATATTCCTTGTGTGAAGTGTAGAAAATCCTTACATGAAAAATAGCCATCCAAATTTGAATGAAGCTCCTTACCAATAAATCTGCCCTATGTTCACTCCCCACAAGCGAAGCCTTCAAAGCTCACTAGAAAACATGACCTCCAAGTTATAGGTGGAAAAAATATTTGCATATATTTCCAAGAATGGATGTTATGGATACAATAGAGTGAACAGTAACATATAAAGTATATAGTTATTCGTTAATAATCTCTGTCTCCACAAAATCTCAGAAGCTCAAATAAAGAAAAAACTAAAATGAGTAATATTGCTCTATTTAAAAAAATCTATAAAAAGACACTTACATTTGGAGAGTGCATAAAGTGCGCTAGACATTAACCACTTGGCTACCAGGCACTTGTACACCCGTACTTTGTCGTACTTTGTCGTACTTTGACTGACAATTGTGCAGTCATGCAACACTGTACCCATATTACATTTTTATCATTTTTTTCACCAAATAGAGCTTACTTTTGGTGGGATTTAATCACCATTGGGTGTTTTATTTTTTGTTAAACAAACAGAAAAAAACAAAAATGTTGAAAAAATAAGTTTTTCTTAGTCTCTATTTTTATCTTCACTGCTATGTGTTGATGAGGCTGCACTGATCGGCACTGACAGGCAGCACTGATGGGCATTGATGAGGTTGCACTGATGACAGCTAAAGGAAGTACTGCCAATAACAGGCAAGTGTGTTTACATCATGATCAACTATGATTGAACACAGCTGATCATGTAGTAAAGGGCTGCTGTGATTGGCCCTTTACCATGACATGCGATCATTTGTGTCCAAAGGACACGGAGATAAAAGGATAACAGAGAGCGCAGTGGGTGCGTGGGGGACGCGGTTCTGGGAGGAGGCCATATGACGCCCCCCCCAGAACTGGATGACAGACAGAGAGAAAGTGGTTAAAGGAGAATTTTCAGCAGTCACCATACTGACAATGTATGTTTTTCTATAACCCCCAGCAGCAGACTGCCAGCAACCTGCATTAATGCTGACTAGTTCTACTCTATGCAGTTCGACATTCAGACTTCATCAGGAGAGTAGGACTTAGTGGGCTCATCAAGTTCTATATGCTAATCATCATTAAATCTCTTGTTTCAACATCTGATCTCTAGTATTATTCACTAGTGACCTCTAATGGCTATATTGAGTATAAGCAAATACTGTGTTTAGCACTATCCTTATTGTAACAAAGGTATCCAATCCAACACTATGCAGAAAAACCCTATAATAACAATATAACACATGAGTGTCCTTGTACTATAACAATAAAATCACATTTCAATATATTCAAATAAGCCAAGAATAATAACATAAGATATAATGATAAAAATCATACAATGACAGCTAGGGATATACATAATTCATTTATACTAGCCTCTCTAGGCATCTAAAAAGTGTATTGCTGTGTATAAAAACTGGATGGGAAAACAATACTACTACTTTTATTATTATTATTATTATTAATAATAATAATTAATTATAGTATATGTTGAAAATTATTTAAACTCTCCTGATTCCCTTTCCATATAATTACCAAACTTTTTTTTAGCAAAAATAGCTTCAGTTTCCCTATCTGGCAGCAAATTTTGCATCCATGGTGAGAGCTGCTAATTGTAAATAATAATACTCCCAAATAAAAAAAAAAAATGTTTAAAATAAAATAGATGCCCAGAATATATAAAAATAAGCTTCTATAGCACAACATCCAAACCTGGTTTATCTCTAAGAATCCTATTCTAACCATCCTGGATAATGGTAGATATTGAGGTTATGATACGGAAGTAAATATGTTGCTTGTTTTTTAGTTAGTTATTCTAAGATGTGTCCCCTTTTTTAATAAAAGTTCTCAATTACTTCAGATATGTAAATTAAGGTTTACCCCTCAATTTTTAATATTATCAAACAAAAGTCTTTCCATTTCTTTTATGTAATCACATTTATTCCATATCACAGTCCCACTGTCCTTGTCCCAGCGGGATGAATGACTTTCCTTTCTATCCTTTTATTTTATCAGACCATTTTTCCATTTCAAAGATTTTTATTAGTTTTGAAACAATGTATACAGAAGAAAGGAACAGGACATTGTCCCCAGTTAAATCCAAAAAAAGGAACAAAAGGCTCAAGGCACTGATAAATGTGCAGAGAATGCAGCATAGAAAGTACATCTCCATAATATGAAAACATTGCAGGTGGGTCTGAGCTCAAAAATGAAAAAAAAAAGTGCATGAAACCTAATAATGGCCAGAGGGTATCAGAGACATTTTTCTGCTCCAGATATAAAATGGAGCAGATTTATGATAGATTTAGAGAAGAGTAGCACAAATCAAGAGACATTAGAGAGATAAAAGCAGAAATTAGCTGAGAAAGAGGAACAGGAGAAGGGGTAGAGAAAGGAAGGAATGAAGGAAGAACTATCAGTCCATTTTTTATTATTATTAGACTATAATCTCTTTTATAATCTCTTTTCTCCTTATATTATTAATATCATTAGGTACCCTATAAACAAAACCATTATGTTTAGTTAACACTCTTCATAAAACCATGAGTATTAGACACAAAACATTTTTTAATATTTCATATATATATAGTATCAGTAAACTGTACATGTGAAATGTATTCACACCTCTCTTAGGGTTAAATTTAAGACCTCGACCAAGCACTCTCAACTCATCCCTCTCCAGGACAGCACTACTTAAATCATAGATACCTTGCCCTAAAATCTCTTTTTTTTTTCTCTGAACCCAGAATCTTGGTCTACATCCCCTTCTATGCTTCTGGGATTTTCCCTGTAATTTGTGTTGATAAATCTTTCTTGTGAAAACTTTCTTAATCTGGGGCTCCCAAAAATGAGTATGTTTGTATAACTTGTTTATCTGAAAAATTAATAAATATTTAAATAAAAAAAAAAATCTGGGGTTCCCAAAAACCCTGCCAAAAAGGAGTATAAAGGCCAGATGATGTATATAATGAAACCTAATAATTAGCCAGAGGGGAAAATCTGTGCCTTAATCGTAATTGCAATCCCTATTGTAAAAATAAATAGTTTTATCACTGTGTTTTATTGTGATGATGTACAAGTCCTGTTTTTTTTATTAGATGCAGTTTAAAATTATTATCAACGTCTTCATGTTGTCAATTGTCATTTTCAATATTCCATATATACCACTTATACATAGTTACATAGTTACAAGTGTAATAAAAGCGCCACACCCTTAATACTTTAAAGCAGCAATTCCACCTCAAAGAAACCAAATAAATTTCTTAGTGCTATAACTTAAATCAAGGAATGCGCTAAAACCACAAACTATTCCTAATTTAGTGTAGAAACATTAGTGCAAAAGATATATATATCTATTATCAATTAATAACAAAAAATATCAAAATTATGTGCAAAACATAAGTAATTTAAATAATTAAATTTGTGAATATAAAAAAACAAAAATGTCCAATTCTGAATTTCTTCAAATGTCCAAACAAATCCTTTTCAAATTCAGGTGCTCTCAAAGAAATTGTGCCAAAATCCACCACCAAAAGTAAAGTTGGGTAACTCACCAGAGCTCCATGCTGATCAATCTCTAGATCAGCAAAAAACGCTTTTTGCTCTGGGAGCAGATGCAATGAATCAACTTCTCAGGTGTGATGATCAATAGCTACACATTCATCCATAAGGTAGGTATCCACCACTCAATATAATGGTTCCAGGAGCATTATATCACTCTCTCTTTTTATATCTCTCCACCGAGGTCATGTTTGGGAATGAAAGAGAAAAATCATGGTGCAGCCAGTTTTTTTATAAAAGTATCCAACAATTTAATAAAAATTTACACTCACAAAAAGGGTGTCTTCACCGACACCAGTATAACAGCATAAAACAGCAAATGGTATAACAGTCTCCTGTTCCCCGTACACTCACTACAGCGCTCGTGACTTAATTTTCTCCACAAACGTCAGCATCCAGTAAGCTTACTGGATGCTGACGTTTGTGGAGAAAATTAAGTCACGAGCGCTGTAGTGAGTGTACGGGGAACAGGAGACTGTTATACCATTTGCTGTTTTATGCTGAGAAGTTGATTCATTGCATCTGCTCCCAGAGCAAAAAGCGTTTTTTGCTGATCTAGAGATTGATCAGCATGGAGCTCTGGTGAGTTACCCAACTTTACTTTTGGTGGTGGATTTTGGCACAATTTCTTTGAGAGCACCTGAATTTGAAAAGGATTTGTTTGGACATTTGAAGAAATTCAGAATTGGACATTTTTGTTTTTTTATATTCACAAATTTAATTATTTAAATTACTTATGTTTTGCACATAATTTTGATATTTTTTGTTATTAATTGATAATAGATATATATATCTTTTGCACTAATGTTTCTATAGTTACATAGTTAGTCTGGCTGAAAAAAGTCCATCCAGTTCAACCAAAAATAAGGTTATAATGCTATACCCACAACTGATCCAGAGGAAGGCAAAAAACCCAGTAAAGCATGATCCAATTTGCTTCTGCAGGGGAACAATATCCTTCCTATCCTCTGAGAGGTAATTGGATATTCCGTGGATCAACTTTACCTATAAATGTTAGTATCCATTAATGTTATGTGTATCTACGAATAATCCAGGCCTTTTTTACCACTTGCCCTCCTGAGGATTTACCCTCCTTCCTGACCAGGCCATTTTCTGCGTTATTTTAACTGACAGTTGCGCGATCATGCAACACTGTACCCAAATGAAATGTACATCCTTTTTCCCCACAAATTGAGCTTTCTTTCGGTGGCATTTGATCGCCCTGTGCGTTTTTTATTGTTTGCACTATCAAAACAAAAGGCAGACAATTTTGAGAAAAAAACAATATTTTTGACTTTTTGCTATTAAACATATCCAGCAAAAAAAAATAAAAAAATCTAATTTCAACATAAATTTACACCAAAATGTATTCTGCTACACGTCTTTGCTAAAATAAAAATCCCAAAACAAGTAAATTAATTGGTTTATGTGAAAGTTATAGTGTTTACAAATAGCGGTATAAATACTGGAATTTTTTTTTTTTACTGGTAATGGCGGCAATCAGCAACTTATAGCAGGACTGCGGCAGGCATTCTGACACTGCGGGAAACATCCCCAGTGACACCAATACAGTGATCAGTGCTAAAAAAAAGCACAGACACTGCACTAATGACACTGGGCAGGAAGGGTTTAACGTGAGGGGAGATCAAAGGGTTAACTGTGTGCAGGTAGTGGTTTACTAGGGGGCGGTGTATTCACTCTAAGCACACTGCTCTGGATGGCTTTGCTGTGCACAGCCATCCAGAGCAGTGTGCCTGAGCTGACAGGGAGGACTGTTAGTAAACAAAGCAGTCCTCCTCCCCTTCAGAGATGCTCAGTAATCAGTGGGATCCGGTGATTGACAGCCACGGCCGCGAATGACAGATTGGGTAAGGCACGTGCTATTGTGCTATGCTCTGATTGCACATTATAACATGCTATACTAATGTATATTGTGCTAAAATGGTACAATGGTGTAATCAGGTAAAAATGTCACATGTATCACATGTAAGTTTAAAGTTGTTCACTATAGGACACTATAGGATTGGATGACACATGCAGAAAAACTAGGCATAGCAAGCTACACCAATCTGCTGTTACAAGACAGGAATATATAGTGCAACACATTAAAATGTGTTTTCTTCTCTGGGACAGGAGTGAAAACCTGGAAATACAAAATCATGTATATATACGTGATTCTGTGCACCCCTGCTATCCTGTAGCAGTATATCTGCTGTAGGGCGGCCAGGATGTGGTTAAAGCGATCCCCTGGGCTGGCCAGAACCAAATCTTGAGGGAGTCTATTCCACATTTTCACAGTTCTTACTGTGAAGAAACCTTTCCATGTTTGGAGATTAAATCTCTTTTCCTTCAGATGTAAAGAGTACCCCCTTGTCCTCTGCGATGACCTCACGGTGAATAACTCTACACTGAGTTGACTATATGAACCACTGATGTATTTATACATGTTGATCATATCCCCCCTTAATCTCCTCTTCTCAAGAGAAAAAAAATTCAGTTCCTCTAATCTTTCCTCATAGCTGAGTTTATCCATGCCGCTTATCAGTTTAGTTGCCCTTCTCTGCACTTTTTCCAGTTTCCAAATGTTCTTTTTGTGAATTGGTGCCCAAATCTGAATTGCATATTCCATGAGGTCTTACGAATGATTTGTACAGAGGTAATATGATATCTCTCTCTCTCTGGGGTCTATACCTCTTTTAATACTTTTACCATTTATATACTTTCTATTTAACTAGTCTTCCACCTGTTTAGATAGATTGATCAACTCCTCTAACTCATTAAAAGAGAAAAAATTTTATTATATAGCCTTAATCTCTGCTTCCTATTGCACCTGTTTTTCTCCTTCTAACTGAAAGTATAAAAGTTCCAGTTGACAGAAGTTACAAAGTGAAAAACATTTCTCATCTGACTTCACATCTGTTAATCTATTATTAGGTGTGAATCCCACCACAGTATTCTAGGAATTGTTTTTTCACTCAAATATTTTTTTAGCGTAATAATATCCAACCAATTATTCAATTGCTGCTCCTAAAGAAACCCTAAGAGGTCTATTTATTTAAAAATTGAAATACAAAGATCTAAAACATGAAAATCTCATATTTTGCTTAATACATGTATTACCTATGATCATCAGCTGCAACTAGTGGTCCTAATGCACTACTTTTCTGATTATGTAAATTTAGGAAAACATGACATTATGGCCACTAGATGGAGCTGAAGCACATAGGAAATAAACATATTAAGCAAAATTGGGGATAATTCGTGACAGCTGAGTAAATTCTTGAAACATTCTCACAGCAATTTTTTTTTCAATAGACTCTTTCTGGTTGAATGTTCTTATCCTACAGTTTTAGGCTCTTTTTTGTATTAGTCAAATGTTCTTTAACTGTTATGGCTGAATATTGTTATGACTATTTTATCTTAGGATTGAATGTTAGGGAATGTTACATTCAACAAAAGAAACTGATATTACACATGTTACAAACATTACAGGTATTATTAGTGACTTTTGCATAAATTATGAGGCAATCACAAAGCAAATGTAAAATATCATCAAAATTATTGCACACGTGTGTAATGATTATGCACAATATGGACATGGAAGTTGTATGAGACAGCTATCTTGTTAAGTTCTCGGTCAGTTTGTTTTCATGAGCAGTGACCTTCCTCCCTCCCTTCTGCAAACTATGAAATTTGTAGCTGTAAGTTTTAACAAACAAAAGAGCCTCTTATTATAAATAAAAACACAATAGATTCCAGAGTCCAAGCCTGGATACCAGCTGTGAACAGCTAATTAGTCTTGGCAGGATGTCTGTTTCCACAAACTATGAACTACTCTTCCCTCTGCCCTATTGTAAAACCATAATAACTCAAGTCAAGCCTTTCACACATGATGTGTAAGGCCATTAAAGCTCTAGGAATGCAAAACGTGCCATAACATGTCTATTCTACAACTCAACAATCCATACACAAAGCCTAAAATCCAACAGAAACAGGACACATTAATATTAGGTATATATTTCAATGGGGAATATCATACCGAGTAAATCAAGGTCATACAGGATTATGTTAGCACATACAAAAAGGGAGAAAGTAGTCTCCTGCCTCATTGGTGACAAATACCTCAAAGGTATGCAGTGTTTGGTATCCCTGGTTACGAAATACAATTCTTAATAATAATCTATCAGCTTCTAGAATACCACCTACACGTATTGGAAGTTAATAATATTTGTGCAAAACTGTATTTGGGAATTGGTCGTAAATGTGGTGGCCTCCTAGCACCCATCCCTTAAACCAGGTTATTAGTCAGATGGTCTCTGGCAACACCCCTTTAATATCACAGAAAAGGGGATGAAAGGACTTGGTAAGGAAGCTCTCAGTTTAACATCAACCAAGGAACACCCAAGAGAGCCAAAGCAATGTTTTTGCTTGCACAGTTGGACTCTGCTAAAACTAAGGACTTTTCAAGTATTCTCCATTTTCACCTCCTTTTATTTCTCTGTTGCATTATTGTTCTCTTTATGTCTGTGTAACATCCCCTTCTGTAAATATTTTAATTGCACCATTTGACCTTTTCATTAATAAATCCTATTTTGAAAAGTGTTGAAATTGTCTCTAAAGCTTTTAGCACAAACTAAAGAATCCCTGTCTTTTGAAGAGTGCTACTGTATGTAATAATCCTCTGAATATACCTGTCTGTGGTGACAGTGTGTGTTGCAGACGTTTATGCTAGAATCATAGTGTTATTGCTAAGATTTGTAAGTTTCCTCCTTCTCTGTAAAAAGGCAGTGGTGCCAATTTAAAGGGTTCATTGTTAATCATCCAAACCCAGTGACAATTGCTCTCAGGTTACTGGCACATGGACTTGTTACACAAGTGACAGCGCTGTGCGAGATTGGCTGGTCCTTTGTCACAAGTTGGTGAGAAGGGCAGGGGTCAGGCACTACGGTTGTCACAATGCGCTTCTATAAAAGTCCCACAAAAAGCAGCTAACCCAATTAGAATATAAAATCCAAAGTACAATCAAACAATAGGGGGCACTAAAATAACCTACCCAAATTTTCCGGCGTATAAGACGACTGGGCGTATAAGACGACCCCCTACTTTTCCTGTTAAAATATAAGGTTTGAGCTATACTCGCCGTATAAGACTACCCCTCTTCCAAGGCACACCAAATAAAAATGAAAAAAACATCAGATTTGATTTCAATATGGTATGCTATTTCAGTATGGTATTCCAATGATGGGGTGCTATTCCTCCCACTGACACCAATGATGAGGCACTACTCCTCCCACTGACACCAATGATGGGGCACTATTTCATCCACTGACACCAATGATGGGGCACTATTCCTCCCACTGATACCAATGATGGGACACTATTCCTCCCACTGACACCAATGATGGTGCCCCATCATTAGTGTCAGTGTGTGAGGAATAGTGCCCCATCATTAGTCAGTGGGAGGAATAGTGCCCCATCATTAGTCAGTGGGAGGAATAGTGCCCCATCATTGGTGTCAGTGGGAAGAATCGTGCCCCATCATTGGTGTCAGTGGGAGGAATAGTGCCCCATCATTGGTGTCAGTGGGAGGAATAGCGGCCCCATCATTGGTGTCAGTGGGAGGAATAGCGCCCCATCATTGGTGTCAGTGGCAGGAATTGCACCCCATCATTGGTGTCAGTGGGAGGAATTGCGCTCCATCATTGGTGTCAGTGGCAGGAATTGCGCCCCATCATTGGTGTCAGTGGGAGGAATTGCGCCCCATCATTGGTGTCAGTGGGAG